TATATCATGAATATAATTTGTAATATTTTACCTTCAGGTATATTTTGTTATACATAAGTGCCAACACTAACTATAATATCATCTATTGATCGACTTACGTTGCCCCTGCACCAATTGTCTCTATATAATTTTCTTTGTATAATCAAAAGACCAAAACTGTAAGAAATGGGCGTTGCCCAGTGACTGGTTTCAACCATTTTATTGTTTTACCTTGAGCATACTTGATGAGGTTCTTTCATTCAATAGTATCAATGGAGCGGTTGGGTGGAAATTGGGCGAATCGGGTGGGACTCGGACACCGGCTTCAACTCGCATTGTAAATTAAACTTTTGAAATATTCATAAGCGGCAAAACAGGCAGAACTAACTGTATATTGCCATGCATCGTTTGTGGCGCGCCAGGTACAACAAAGTGGCTCACTGTATCAAGCCAAAGCGAGACTGTAGCCCTTCAACCTTCTAGTATTTCGGGTGGTTTGGTTAGACTAATACGCACACACCCACGCACACACAACAAATATAGTCGTTCGACTTAATATTCATACTTAGCTATTCTGAATTACAGTGGCAAACCTGTACAAAGAGTATGGTATATTTGCTCTACCGCTGGTTCATGGCTCTCTTCTTTATCGCCGTTGTCATTAAGTCGATGTGGCCGCGATCCGATGATGAGTCCAGCTACTGGCTCTACTTCATCTATATGACCAATTGGGGCATCTGGATGTGCATGCTAACCAATTTATTGGGCGCCATACTCGTCACAATTTGGCACCAACATCCAGAGTATGCGGGTAAGTTTGAATCCATTCGTCACGTTATACGATCCCAAGCACTGACTTTTCCTCCTCAGATAAGCTGCTCAACATGAAGGCTTGGGTGAGCCCTTTTCGAGTTTATTGGAGCATGCACATTATTACGCTAGTCTTATCGATTGTTATTACGATCATTTACTGGACCGTACTCTATGATGGTAAGCCTTGTGTAGTTCGCTGTCAGTTCCGTCTTGAGTTGCAAATTCTGTTTTCTCCTCTATAACTATTGCAGCGAAAGAAACTAATTTGGATGCCACGAATGTGCTCACCCATGCATTCAACTCGATTTGCATGTTCATTGATCTGTGGATTGTGGCACATCCGTTGCGTTTGCTACACGTGTTTATGCCCGTCGTATTTGGCATTATCTATGCCATATTCTCCTACATATATCATTTATGCGGCGGCATCAACAAGTGAGAAATCGTTGTACCCAAAATTATGTTCCCATTATTGATAAATTCTTCTCATTCTGATGTAGAAAGGGAAAGCCCTACATATATCATGTGATTGATTGGAATCAACCGAGCTCAGCTCTTCTGACTGTTCTATGCGTCTTGTTGCTGTCTTGCTGCATCTACGCCCTGCTCTTCGTGTTCTTCAAGCTGCGACTCTATCTCTCGCGCAGCTGTCGTCAGGGCAGCTTTGTACTGCCCACCACAAGCAAACACGCTGGCAATGCCGGCGAGAGTCAGGCAACAGCCAATGGCATACAGCACTCACCCTGTCGCATCTCCATGGTGCTGGGCAACTATGCGGGCTACGAGAATCAAGGATATACTCCCAGTGCGGGCGAGGCAAAGAAAACAAAGAGCTAGACTATGTTCAGCGTACATATTCTCAGACTATAGATTTTGCCAGAAGACGTATTTAATGTTCATAAGAGACATATATGTATATAAATCATGTACCTATCTGATATATGTATATCTGGCAATCTTATCCAAACTCTTTGTTTTTACGACTTTAGTCAAACTGTACAGTAGAATTTTAACCCAGTGATATACTTACTAAATTGTAGCTAATTGTATGTAAATAATTTTTAATATAAATAAAAATATAGTATTGATAAAAAATGAAATCGGAATAATTATGGGGTAAGCATTTAATATTCCAGTTAATTATTCCAGTAAATTTGTCATTGCTTCGTTTGTCTTTCTTTCAGCTATCCTTGACCCATTTGACTCATTCCCAAGCCGAGCTAGATTCTCCTTTTATGGGCTTTCGAAAACCACATATCCTTGATACTTTACCCTTATCTGTCCTTAGACGGATCAACATTTACACACAATGTAAAAGACCCCAAATATGCATTAGAAATTCCATAAAATAATCAACGTGACTAAAGGACTTTGAGACCTATTGAGACATTGTCATATTGCTGAGACTCTTACTTGGGAACTTTACAGTTGATTATTAAACATTAATGCACAGGGCCACATTGTGAAAAGGTTAAATGGTAGGCGGCAAAAGTTTGTCTGCACCTAAATATGATAGAGCTAGAGCAGCAGGGAAAAGCCGAGAAAACCAAAAACGCAATAAAATAACTATAAAAATGGGAAAACATTTGAGTAATTGTCTAACGGATTTCGATGGCGGCAGCCAAAGTGTTGAAACTTAGTTAATAATCCGCGCAGACATCGAGCATTGGGTGAGAGAGAGCCTGTGTAAATATTTTACATAAAGTCTTAATCACATTTGAATGGCTGCATTCGCCCAAATAATCTTGAACGAGTAATCAATCACAACGCGAACACGTTCTCGATTTAATTCTCTAACTATAAATAGCACAATTTGTATAACAATCGAATTACGTATTTAATATAATTATAAGACGTATAATTAAATATCAGGAAATTTTCCTCAACATAATATATAATCTAGTTATTTGTCAGTGCTCTAGTATACTTTGTTAACTTCAATTTATTTAAGAGAGAATATCGAAAGCTGTTTTCATTTCTCCAAAAACTTTTCAAAATATATATTCATTCCACTTAGTATATTCTTAATCCCAGAACTGCTATATTTTTAATCTCTTTATAAGTCCAATATCAAACACTTCTTAATTGTATAATATCTCAAAATTTAAAACTAATACTAATTAGTTCACGATTCTTATAACAGAAATATTGTTAATTTTCATATCAAGCATATAGACTCTTGAGAGATTATAAATCGATAAATCTATTAAATAAATGTATAACTTTTTTTTTATTTTTTTTCAGTTTTTCAATAATAAATTTCTTAAAAAAATGTTATTACTATTTTTATTCTATTCTTTTATAATTATTATTAATTTTTTATAATTTTATAAGTGGTTACAAATATTTTAAAGTCGATATCCCCAAGTAAAAAGTAAATATAAATTCTTATGAATTTAAATATTGAAGAATTTCTCGAAGTTAAGTGTTTCATTCTCATATTTAAATCATGTCTTAGCCAAACTTTTAAGTAATGAATAATTTAATACTTTGATGATACTCGACTGAAGCAAATCAAATTTTGATATGCAATAACAACTCTTATAAAATTGTATAGACAAAATAAAATCCTCTAAAAAATAGGAGAAGAAGGAGGCTTGCTGGAATCATTTAACTTTTACAGTACCTCTGAGGTGACCTTATCAACACACACATAGTGTCCTTAATCACAGCTGCCCGGTTCAGTGTGCAGTCGAGTCGCTCCCCTTGACTCGGAATCTAATTGGGGAATCAATTGGCCCAGCTAGACGGCAACATTCGGCTCTAATTTGTTGTTGCCGTTGTTGTTATAACAATTCTTTATGCCCGCTATAACGTTAATTAAGTTTCCAAAAGCATTTAATAACCGAACGCCCAAAGCCGAGCCTCAAGGACGAGAAACACACACGTGCTGCTCCTTGGGACACCAAGCGTCGGCGATGACACTGCCCTAGTTCGTGTGTAGTCGGTCAATCGCCGCATATGTGCTACACAGTTTGAGGACCAACTAATCAAAAACAATAAACAATCATTGAAGACAACACGACTTGGAAATACCCTAAGCAGTGCGACTAACAGCTGGCAACAAATATCCAAATGCCAATATAATTTTACAAAAACTGATTCATAGCATATGGGTTTATGAATCGATAGATAGGTATCATCAAAAACTATTTACCCATAACTAACTCTCTTTAACTCTAAGAACCAAATGTGGTATCCAAATGACTTCAGATTCTGGGAAAATATTCAAACGTATTCACCCTAGGTCATACAACAATAACTAGCTCAAAATACATAGTCCGAAATCCTTCTGGACATTGGAAAGAGTTTCGATATATTTATAAATCTAATCGAGTCCACTGATAAACCCTGTTTAACAATTTCAATGTGCGCAGACTATGGAAACCCGAGAAACCAGACCTGGTTGTCCTGTGTGTGTGTGCCAATCTCATTTATAGCTATTGTCCTTGCCGTCGGGTCGACGAGCCGACTGACCGCTGCGGCGGTGCGACACGGCATGTGACAAGTTTCAGTGTTAGACACAAATTAGGCGTCGCATCTGTTTGGGTCTTTGGATCGATATGTGAGCATTTTGATCGATATGAAATTTCCTTGAGCTTTGAACTTCTTTTCATGTCCTTGTTCAGCCTATTGACCCGCGCTTTGTTTTCTCTCTCTCTCTCTCTCTCTCTCTCTTTCGTTCCTTTCCCCCGTCCAACTCACACTCTTATCATTAGCACAAACAAAATCAATAGCAGTTTAATTGAATATACTTTGGAAATTTCGACAGCTGTCAACTGTCAATGTCAGTCAGCTCAACGAATCCATATTTCGTTTTCACCTTAAATCAACATTATAATTATATGCAATCAATAGTGTAAAATATTAATTGACTATCTGTCTTTGCAAGCCCATCCATTCATCCAGCCATCTGTGCACCCAACCCTTCGTACAGCCCATTTGGCGCCCAGACTTGATTTAGCAATTTAGACTTGTGGTTCCGCCATGATTGTGCAATTTTCCAGATATCAAAAAACGTATTCAGTCCATTCAAAACTAATCACATATGAGCCAGAATGCTTGAGCATTTGACATGAGAAATATTTGGGGTACAGCCTAGGACATTTCAAGAGGTTTAAAGGAAGGCAATTAAATGAATTTAAATATTTATTAATTATAGACAACAAAATAATAATGAAATTACCTTCAAAAAAATTATAAATGGGAAATAATCTTGAAATGATTGCACATAATAAAAATAAATACAGAATACAGAATTGTTCAATACTTAAAGGAATTCATAAGACAAAACTTACACTAAGAACATAAGATAAAGCTATACATACATAAATCTATCTGCACCAGTGTTGTAAAACAATGGAATTGCTGTGCTGTCAAAGTTTTTTTGTCAAAGTGTTACACAGCGTTGTTCAACACTTCCTGCATTTTACAACACTTAGCAGTGCTGTAAAGTACTCAACACTCAACAGAGAATAAAAATGTCAACAAATTGCAATAATTATCTCACATTACAATGCGCAAAAGTTTTATGAAACTCTCTAGTAAGAACTATAGTTCTATTCGTGTGATCTGAGGTGTCGTGAGTCGCTGAACACCTGCAAGTCTGAGGATTTATTTACACCGAATAAGACAACAACAATCAAGGATGTCGACCGGATGGCAGCAACGCAACAATATTACACCATAAACAAAAGAGTAAAGAGAATGAAAGTGCGAAAGAGAGAGAGAAAGAGAGAGACAGAAATAGATAGAGCAAGTGCTTGAAAGATTAGTGAGAACGAACGCAGGCTGGGCAGGATATTGTTTGGATTGCATAAACAAACGGTAGGGGCACACACGTTGTTTAGCTTTCGAGCAACAAATTTCCAGGGCTGTGCAGCCGGTTCGTATCTGCCCACATATACACACACACACACACACACACACATACACACCAGTTAACGTTTGTGAATCATGTGGACGACTGGAATTCATAAAGTATTCATTAATTGGAAACGCGCGCGCCCTGCCTTTGGCTGACCAATTGCCGAGGATTGCGGTTGGTAAAAACCGAAGCAATTCTCATATTTCAAATTCAGTCTTGTTTCGGACGTTCGGGAAGCAGAACCTGCATAAATTACCAACCAACCACCGTTCCGTAGTACCGTAATTCCACCAAACACCAAAATCAGAGAGACACACACGCTTTATAAATTGCAGGGGCTTTGGTAACGGGGCCACCAAAAACCCAGCTAGAACCGGCACTATGTAGCGAAAAGAAAAAAATAATAATAATTTTCACTGTGCGTGTTGCCAACGATAAACGCTAACGTGTCGCCCAGAGATACCAGAAAGCGGAAGCCCGTGCACAACAACTAATAGCAATAAATATATTATACAAATCACAGAAGAAAAAGAAAAACCAAGAGCAAATATTAGAAAACAGAAAAACAAGTAATACAAGAAAAAAAACCTATTCGGCAAGTGTATAATGTGTAATGAGTGGATGCATTAGAAACGCTAGTGGAAAATTGAATTGATTTTTTTTTTTATAAATATTTTGATTTATTGTTTAGCCCGCCAACTATTGAACGAACTGTCCTCTCTACAAATGCGTTAATTACGTAGCAGGAGTGGCGAAACGGGCAAAAAGCATTGCGCAAATTCTGCTATACTGGCCACCGAATGGATAATGGGTATTTGTTTAGACACAGGTAAGCAAAACATTGTGCCAGCTATAATGATTGGGCTATGCTTGTAATGGCTGCATTAGGCCAATAAAACAGCCGGTCAAAGAGCAACAGTCAAAACAAACAACGGCGATATTATAACAGAAACTCTAGCAACAACCAAACAAACAAAACTTTTATTATTTATAAATATAGTGTAAGAGCTGTTGTGTTATTTA